CCCCAAAACCCCAAAACCCCAAAACCCCAAAACCCCTCCAATTTTAGAATTTTGATATAAATAAATATGGCAAAAGGAGAAGTTATTATTGGAGATTCGTCAAGTGATGAGGAGGAGACTAAACAGAATGTAGCAAAGCCTCCTCCTACTAAAAAACCTGTCAAGAAGAACCCACCCAAACAAAAAGAGAGATGCATTGGGGACATCAGTAGCGAAGATGAAGCTCCTTCTAAGAAAGCTGCTCCTAAACAAGCAAGAAGCTCGAAGCCAGCTCCAAAGAAGGAAGTCCTTAAGGAGAAAACAAAGCCTAAGAGAGCTCATAAGCCTGAACCAGAGAAGAAGGTTGAAGCAGTAAAGAAAAATATAGTGAAAGCAGTCATGAAATCAGGATGTATCGGCGATTCTTCTTCAGATGAAGATAGTCATCATAAAGTGTAATTAGGATATCTCAATTAACTTTTTAGTATGACCAAGCCGGCTATTAGTAAGAATAAAGAACGAATTATTGGTGAATCGTCAGATGAAGAGGAAGCTAAGAAACCAGTTATTAAGAAAAAGTCAACCCCTCCTCCAAAGACTGTGCCTAGTAAGTTAGAATTTTCCAAATCTAACTTAAAAAATTAGGATGACATTTTGCATAAAATTTCTTAGTAAAAATTTGTTGTGAGATACTAGATTTAAAGTTTAACAATAACACTTTAAGTAATTAGTCTAAATACATCTCATAGGAAAGGAAAAACCAGTAGAAAAGAAACCTCAAGCGAAATCAAAGGTAGACAGCCAGAAGCCATCAAAAGGGAAAGCAAAGATCTTAGGAGATAGTAGTTCTGAAGAAGAGCCTGCAAAGAAGCAGAAGGTTGATCCAAAGGAAAAGCCTGTAAAGCCAAAAAGTATTGCTGAAAAGAAACCCAAACCAACTGTAGAGAAAGCTCCTGCTCCAAAGAAACCTCCTCATATTTCCTCAGGAGTTATAGGGGATTCTAGTTCAGATGAAGAGCAAATTCAGAAAAAGCCTTCTCCTCCTCCAAAGAAAACAGAGTTCATTGGCGATGTTAGTCCCAAGAAAGAGTCAAAACCGGCAAAGAAAGCCTCTGAAGTTAATAAAGGTTCCAGAGGAAATACTAAGGTGTTAGGAGATTCCAGCTCAGATGAAGAATCTAAAAAGCCTCTAAAGAAGAATCCCCCTCCTGTAAAGAAGAATGCTCCTCTACCTAAGAAAAAGTTTAAAGAAGACTCAAAACCTGCTCAAAAGACGGCTCCCAAGGCTCCAGTAGCGAAAAAGAACCCTCCAACTAAATCAGGGTGCATAGGAGATTCTAGCTCAGATGAAGATGTCAAACCTGCAAAAAAAGTCACTGAAAAAATCAAGGCAAAAGTTGCTGTTCTGGGAGATAGCAGCAGTGATGAGGAACCTTCTCCCATAATCACTACAACTCCTGCAGAGGGCCAACCACAGAAAGAAGAGATCATCACTGGAGATGCTGTCAATAAGAATAAAGTTGCTGGCGACAATCTAAGTGCAAATCTTCAAAATAAAGAATCTAATCCTCAGCCTCGAAAAACCGTCTCAACTGGAGTAGAAGCAACTAAAATGATGTTTGAAAAGCAACTTGCTCTTATGATGAAGCAGCAAAGCCACTTACAGAACAAAAATATATCGAAAGATGATGAAGCTAAAGATGGCAAAGATGATAGAACTCAGAAGAAGCACCATTTAAAAATTATGGAAGATTCTTCAGGTAAACCCCATCCTTTCCTAACCCCATAGGTGATGAAGATGACTTTGAAACCCTGAACACCCTTGCTAAGGCTAAGTCTAAGGACTCTAAGTTATTGTCTCTTGACTTTGATCATCTAGAGATTGATAAGCCGGTGATGGCTCGAAGGTACACCAAAAGAAAGAATCTAGAGGAGTTCTAAAGAGCCAATACCTAGATTATTTATCCTCATTACATATTATCTCACTTCTATTACTCTATTTAAAGAAGGGGTTTTGGGGTTTTGGGGTTTTGGGGTTTTGGGGTTTTGGGGTTTTGGGG